AGCTCGGAGCCTTAATCAAAGAAAACAAAATGACAGCCTGAACATGGACTTCTTACTTGCCACCATGCAGGTCCAGGCACTGTGAACTGGAAAAAGTTTCGGGCACTGCAAACAATGGAGCGAGTCTTACCAGGTGCCATGGGGACATTGAAAAGAACATATCCATATTACCCATCTTTGGTCACCAACTATTGGAAGCTTGTTATTAATCTCTATTCTGCAAAAGTAATACAAGTGGGTTTAGATGTAAAAACAATGACGTGCGGAAAAAGAACAATGACAGTATACCAAAACAAAGTAATTCTTATTGAAAGTCATCTTGATAGCACATGAAACAAGAAACAGCAAGTCACGCCTGCCTTCAACTGCACTATTATATGCCTACCAACTCCATGAATACACATTCAGGCATAATTCGAAGAAGCAGACAGTTAATCTAGAATTCATCCACCTCATATTGTCCCCATACTAGAGGTACAAAGAAATTTCAGAAGGTAAAAAGAAAAGGCAAAAAAAAAAAAAAATTCCAGAATTGTATTAGATTAAGTTAAATACAGAATTCATTCACCTATTGAGGATGCATTGATACTAAATACTCATTTTTGTTTTGAATGTGAGTCAAGATGCTTATGACTTGATACGCAAAGAGCGTTGAAACATTAACAGAACTCAACTGTACAAAATTCTTCCATATCATATTTACTCAGTAACGAAGAAGGCACATGGAAAAATAAAACGAAACACCTGAAAAATTTACTTCCAATACTAAATCCTCAGGCTTACTTGTTCATATAATAACAGGGGCAACAAATTTGGAACTGATTCGTGGGTTCCATCATCGTTAGCTCCAGCAAAGCCCCATGGACCACTACCCTCCAACTTGAATGGCAAAGGCTTTGCCCTATCTCTCCTTCCTGTCACCTGTAATTAATTTGGCGCTAGCAATGTAACAGTTATCAAACTAAAATAAATCCAACTCCCACAACTGCATATTTGAGCGCTATCCTAATTTAACACTACATGTACTAGCATGGTCATGTTTCATAAGCAATGAGATGAAACATTTCCACAACAAGGGCCATGCATAGACAGAGCGAGCAGGTGTGCGAGGCTGGGAGATAAATAACGGAAGGTTTCCAAAGGCTCCTAGGCATGTACTAAAAGCAATGATCCCATAAACTGGTACGCACTTAGAACTACCGAACCAAATTCAGCAAAACCTATAACAATTTAATTGTCACAGGAGACTAGTTGGATCGTTAAGGAACATACGTAGCGTGAGGAATAAGTTTTGCTGAGATCAATCAAAATGTTGTACATGGAGAGAAGTTTTTCCTTACATCTCCAGATTAACTTCAAAGATTCTTCATATGCTACGTGCTACTGATCATGAGAATATGTCAATGAACGAAGCAAAATCTAATGAAAAAAACTGTCTACAGTAACTTTTATTGTGCTCGAAATGCTCCACCGGCAACGTGATGAACTATAAAATACTAATAATAAGAATATAGTATTTTAAATCGAGTTCTCAGGTTCAGAGACATTGTTCTTACCTTGTGATGAGCAAAATCAATGTGAGAAGGGTCGGAAACATTCTCCATGAGAGTATCATAGCCATAGAACAGATCGCGTTGAATGTTCACGGTGGCAAACTCTGGTTTTTCGAAGTCATCAGGCAACCTAAGCAAAACCATAACGCCATGCAGATCAATAAATATTCATTATTTAACAGTGTTAAAAACCGACAAACATCTCAAACTGTCCAAACACGCATAGTTTTAATGAACTTAAACAATTCAATGTGTATTAATTCAATCAAGCAATAAAATATTAAATCAATTACAATGGGGGCTTAGCGGCGCCGGCTTTTTCCAAACATTCTCATCCGCCACACAAAGAGGAGACCCTGAGACACCATGGTAGGGAACTTTGTGGCACATGCTAGGTGATCGAATAGCACGAGCTTCAGGACCTTCCGATGACGGCTGAGGGATCCTAACACAAGATCCACATCCATCAAAGGACCAGCCATGATAGGAGCACTGAAGTTGCCATCTTCATCAATCCGTCCTTCCTACAAAAATCAAACCGATTAATTTCATGATCTTCTCTGAGAGAGCGATATTATAAACCTAAAATATTAATTCAGATTAAAATTAACTAAACGAGGGGTAGTAAAAGAAGGACAAAGAGGAGAGCGTATATTACTGATAAGGGGGCAAGACGATGGGGGCATTTGTCGTCGAAAGCCACCCATTCGGATTTGGATTTGTCATACCACAGTACGATCTCGCGACCGAGAAGCTGAAATGGGGTAGGCAATCGAGGGTCCAGATCTTCAATTAAAGAAACTGGGTACCAGTGATCCCTCCAAGAAAACTTTGAAGAGGAGCTCTCGTCACTAAATTCATTCTCAGTTTCATCCTTCTCTGTTTCTGGAATTGATTGCTCAGGCTCAATGCTTGTTGGCGTAGCAACGCGTAAAGACAGGTTTCTGGGTCCATTCGGTTCTTTTTCTGGTGAAAGATTGCATATTGCTATAGGTATAAAGAGGAAAATTCAGAGTTTTGCTTCTCGTTGATAACACTGTGTCGATAGCAGCCAAGGCAGAGGTAGGGTGTAACAGAGCCATGGACGGAGGTTAAGAGAAGTTCAAGAGCAATTCACTGTAAGGGGAGCTCAGAAAATTTATGGTGTGTGTGTGAGAGAGAAAAGAGATTCAGATGGAACAAGAGAATACAAGAGAAGTAGGAACTCTTGAGAACTTTGCGTGCAAGTCTGAAATGTTTCTACCTATATAGCGGTGGGTCTGGAGCTCTTTCCAGACAAAAATGAAGTTCATCGCTATTGTCATTCTATAATCCGTTTTCTCCTCACGCTTTGGCTTTATTTCCGCGGTAACCAGTAACACTTCGCAGAGTTAACAACATGGTGACAGAGAGAGAGTAATTACCGAAGAAATTGGGCCAATTCTTTTAAGTGTCAGAAAGTATTGATCAAAATCAAAGTTCGCTACTTGTTAATGATGGTGACAAATATGTGCATTTCCAGTGTGAAAATCGGCAATCGGCTCGGCCGGCCACAAGTTTAAGGAGCATTCAGAGTTGATTATTTTGCTGCCAAGTATGCCACACATGGCTATAGATTTCGCTGCCAGGTGGCAATAGCATAAAGCTCTCGGCCAAAAAACAGGTATCGTGTTTATGTGTTCAAGTGAAACTTATCCAACTATTGTACATCCAATAATCCAATCAATTAACGCAATGCCCCAACCTGTGGGCTATAGTATTGACTTAACCATGACTGTGGGCTATCACGTTATGGAAAAATTTACATTTAAAATTAAGAGTTAAATAAGATATTTATGTTTAATTATTTGTTGACCAAAATTTTTATTTAATTATTGTAAACTTCATGAATCATATAAATTTCAGAGTTTAAATTTTAATTGAATTATTAATCCTATATTATTATAAAGATTAAATGTTTCACCATAAATGGCCAGCCAAAAAAATGTGCCAATGTAAATATTATTAATTTTTTAATCTATCTAGATATTCATGTTCAAGCAAACACCACCGTTTAGCTTCCTTCTGAAAATATACGAGCTTTGAGAAACCCGCGGTTGAATCAGAAGCACCGCGCCAGTAGGCCCCTTGAATATTATAGACAATTTTAAATAATAATCTATCACTGTTTATTTTTTTTTTAAAGAACAAATTACTAAAAAACCAATCACATATTCAAACGTCAACATTGAAACATTAACATTTATACTACCTCCGGTTAATTATAAGACCCAGTTGACTTATTTGAGGAGATTAAGGAAGTAAAATTAAGTTAGTTATTTGTAATAAATAAGTGTTGTCATTCCTAAATATCCTTGCTATTAAGTGTATTGGTTAGAACTATCATTATTAGAAGGACTATTTGAAAAAATAAATAAATATAAGAGAAAAAATGGATGGGGTCTTATAATTAGGACCAAACAAAAAGTCAAACGGGGTCTTATATTAAGGACCGGACGTAGTAATAAGATTATTAATTAACATGATATATATTGTCTTCCCTAACTAAACTAAGCACATAACAAGTTGATGCATCTCTGTAGCCCCAAAAAAAAAAGTTGATGCATCTAGCCCGATATTCAAGTCTCCATTTTTATGGAATAGATAATCAATATATTGGTATGCTTTATTGGAATTATTTAAGGGCTTTTTATTTTCATTTTTGTAATAAAAAACATAAAATCATATTTTGCTCGCTTGTCTCTTTCATTTTTTTAATAATGTATACTAATGGGCATATAACACGTTGGCAGAAAGGGGCAAAAAAAAAAAAAAAGGCATATAACAACTGAAACCTTTTTTTCACCCAGTTCCAAACTAGCATGGCTATTAGCACTGGCTCATTCGTTGGGATGAAGATGCCGGTCAGAATTTCAACTGACAGCAGATCTCAAAGCCACAAGCTCCATGGATAGAACTCGCACAAATGCCTTCGAATTCGAAGCGTAGTATGAATATATTGATCGGAATATGAATAGATATCCCATTCAAATTTCACTCCCACTCGCAGGCGATCAAAATTAAAAACTCTTCAGCTCTCCCAAAAAAGATAGAAAGAAACACATTCTACTTGATCCCAACATTCTTCCTGGAAGATTATGAATTCTAACGCATCCAACCTCATATGTAGTCACGAAACTGATTGCAATGAATTGTGCAGTAATTTATATTTACTCCCATTATTTGGCTGCAGTCGAAAATTTTCTCTCATCAGCTCTTACAAAGGGGGAACTTTCACTTTCTAGTTGATTCTAACATTTTTCTTAGAATAAGGTTGATTCTAACACGCTCCAGAACCATATGTAACCATGAAATTGATTTTCCCGGGCATATTCAAGACGCGTTCTGGGTGGAGCAATGAGCCATGTCCAGGCTTCATCAACTGCAGAAGCGCTAGGCACAAACAAGTTTAGTGTACTTACTACTCAGAATGCAACATTCACAAACTGCTTTATTTCTTTGTATAAGTTTGATGATCAGGCCCAACGTCACGCGAACCAGTGTTTATGTAAGGGCCTCGAAATGTGCTTGTGGTGGTAACGGCTTTGATGGATCATAACAGGCTGCCTTGACGACCTGGGCAATTCAAGTTCAGTTGAACCGTTAACTTCAGTGCATGCAAAAGAATGCAGATCGGAACAGTCCACTGCAATATCAATTGACTTACGCCATGTAGAAGGGAAATGCCAAGCCAGCTGCAGCGAAAGCAACTAAACCAGTAGCAACCATGACATTGCGTGCTCGAGTCATGAATGTAAAAAATATGGTTAGAAATGTGGCCTGGCAAAAAGAGAACATGTCATGGCCTCTTATAACATGATTTTCTAGCTTCAGGTTAATACTAAATGGACTGTGTAACAAAAGCATGAATCGGGTATGTTCTGGTGATATTTTGACAAAGAAAATCACAATCTTAGATTATTTATTTCTACGGATCAGAATGGAAAACGAAGTGAAAAAACCAAAATTAATATACTTAATCAAACAAAATGTCAAATAGAACTTTGGCAATCACATACCTCACAAGTCAAGAGTCTGTATGAAGGCGATTCAGACTGCGTAAAAAATTTCATGGGATAACTTTGGAAAGAATGTAAGAAACAAGAGAGATGGGCTCCAGATTACATTACAATAGTAACTAAGAAATTAAAAAAAAAAAAACATTCCACAAAATGAAGCCAACACAGACATCAAATAGCACTTGGCAATGCATAACCAACTCAAAATGTTTCATGGGTTAAATTGGCGTAAAATATTTCATGGGATAACTTTGCAAAGAATGTAAGAAACAAGACAGATGGGTTCCAGATTACTTACAATAGTAACTAAGAAAATGAAAGAAAAAAAAAATTCCACAAAATGAAGCCAACACAGACATCGAATAGCACTTGCAATTGCATAACCTCACAAGTCATTATTGAAGGGGAATAAGATCCCCAAGTGTGCTTTAGGGCCATCCCTCTTTCTAACTTTTTCACATATGCTTTAGGATTTCTAAATCCATGCGAATGATAGGATGCTAGGTGCAGGATTTTCTTCACCAACATTATCTTACCAGGGAACAACAACAACAGTAAGCCTCATCCCACCATGATATGTTATTAGAAAGGAATAGATGTGACAGAGAAGGCTAGTATACCTATTTTCAGCAACTATGCAATGAAACAGTAAACAATGTAAGCCACTGCCAAAAAAAGAAAATAACGTAAGCCCAGGCATCAATACAAAAAGGCTATCCAATCCCGTTGAAATTGGTTAGGGAGGCGCCGTTGATGAAAGAAGGGCTGGACAACTAGGAGAGGCAGTTTCAATTAGACCTGGATGCTTTTAAGGATTCAGAAAGCGCATTTCACTGAAACTTAATGTACAAAGAAGCAGCACGGATAGCCGAACAGAGTGCCAAAAAAAAAACAAATCCAGCATTACCCTTCTAACTTTTGTTCCAAATGCTTTGACGAAGATGCCTTAGTAAGCCAATTAATTCAAGCAACTCCTACAAGTCGCGGAAGAATGACAATTTAAAGTCAAGCTTATAAAGTACCAGACACAACTCGGGGCCAAGTCATTTACCAGATCATGCATAATAATGAACAGAATGCCAATACACAAGAAATCCGGCATAGCACAACAAAACAATCCAAAGCATATAAGCTTCCAGTAATCAGAATGAAGAGTAATAGCCGATTACGCACAATTGAAGCAAAAACTACTAATCAAACTTTGAAAACTCAATCTTTATTCAAAATTCAAACGATTAAAAGACCACATGCATAGACAAATTAAATGAAAAATTTAAAAACAAAGCAAGAAACGATGCGAGAGCGTCCAACACATGGTTGACAACTACGCGGGGACAAATTCAAATCTAGATTCAAAGCCAGATTTAACAATTCAACCTCACGGATTTTGAGAGTAGACAAAGCCTAGGGTTTGAAACCTCTCCGATACTTGCCAGAGAACAGCTCAACAGACACGCAGGGCCGACAACGTTGGACGGCGTCCGACGGTGAGCGCGACCAACTGTCGAATGTAACGTCGACGAAGAAAAATGGTCCGGCCAAGTGGGGAATTGCCCACTGTTGTAGAATCCCTTTTTTGGTTTTAAAACTATTTTCCATATATACTTTTTTTCAATTTTCAATTCTTTTCACTAATTTACATAAAAACTAAAAAACTAATAAAAATAAAATTATAAGAATAATATTACTAAAATGTAGAATTAAATAATTTAATCTTTTCTTTACAACATGTAAAATCTATTTTTTCATAAGATTAAATTTGATCCCCCTTTTTTTTTTGGGTACAAAGATTAATATTACATCCAATCCTTAATATAAGACTTTGTTTAATTTTTATGTTGATTCTAAATATAAAACCCAAATCTATTTTGTCTTTTATATTTATGCATTTTTTCTAAAGTAATTCTTCTAATAATATAGTTATAACCAAAACAATTGATTAGTAAAAATATTTTTAAAAAAATAACATCAATTTGTTACAAATAACTAACTTAATTTTTTTTTAATCTTCTTAAATTAATCATTTAGTTTTTATAATTACGAACCAGAGAGGCGGTAGTTGATACATCAAGCTACATCAATCTCTTGCCACTGTGGGTTCAGGCGTTGCGGGCCATTGGTGGCAATTCAGGTTGTTTAGGTGTTAAGCAGTCTGCCTCAAACGTGGAAGATGGTGTTTTGCGATATACCAAAAACATTTAGTGGGCTGATTTCAATCCTTGGGTATGTTTGTTTGGGTTTCCTCTTCTTATTTATTCGTTTCGGAATTGTATATTTGTACGTCTGATGCCCCCCACTCTCCTGCCTCTCCCTTTTTCTCATGAGGATTCATTTCTTTCCTTTCTCTCTTTTACAAACACGTTGATTTATTTTCAATATATATATTTTTATTTGGATACAATCATTAAAAAACACTTCAGATAAAGCGCAAACTTAAAATCGTAGTTAAAGAAAATTATACCCAAGAATCAAATTCATGAATTAATTATTTATAACACCCCAAATTTACCATTTATAATGAACAATAAATATTTGTATTTTTTGCCAAAAATATTTATCACTAATATAAAAATTAATAATTTATAATTCGAAAAATATTTAACACTTTATTATTTACTATTTAAGTAATACAAATTTATAAGTAAAAAATGAGTTTCGCTACATAACTTGTGAAGTTAATACTTAATAGTTCTTTAAAATAAAAAATTATTTATGTTAATCCTAAACATAATTCTCTCGTTAAAATTACGCGAGCCAACAATTCAAATAGAAAAAATTCAGCTGGAAAAAGAAAAAAGAAAAAGAGGGTCATACGAGGAAACTATTCAACACAAACACTAATAATAATAAGATGGCCGATAGTCATTAAAAAAAACATCCAGTGACTATTAGTCCACGAAAGACAAACAAATAGCACATTAGAGGTAGACCACATGTACCCAATAAGTAAACTGAGATCTATATCAAGATTCTCCACGCAGGAGAATTTTACAACAGTAATAAGACATCGTTCATAGCATCCATATAACCCGGAAGAAACTTACATAATTTCGACCTTTAATTAATTCGTATTTTCATCTCAAAAGTGAATTCACTTGGCGGCAACCATGTTTTGCTGGGCCTGATTTTCCTGCTGCTGCTGATAGTTCAGGGGCCTCCTGAAAAGCATTATGTGTGGCTCAGGACGATGAATTGCATAGTGAACCCAACCGCGGCTCTGTTGAACCCCAATGCACGCCACTCATTCTGTGTCATAAAACAATGTAAATCATTTAAGCCTGCAACCACTTAGTTTCCAGTTGTTGAAGATCACAGATCAAAGACTACAAATACTTAGAAGGCAAATACTTAGACTACAAATACTTAGAAGGCAAATAGCCATACAAATTACCTTAATATCACTGACACCGAAAAATTATAAACAGCGGTAACGGTCTTCTGACTTTGAAACCCATATTGTTAGGCCATTGACTTCTTGTACATAAATTAAGAACATTCATTTATTCAATTCTGTTCAAACAGGCCAACCATTTTCTTTCACTACCTTTTTCTTATTTCCTGGTTGGAGGGGTTTCTCAACTCTTTCATACATTGGTCCATTCTTTCTTTCTTTAACAGCAATACTAGCCAATAATTATAGTTAGGACACAGGAGTTACCAATGGGCTGAGCATTAATTTCGGTTCTATTTCGAAGCAGGGCTCAGTTGTCAACCCTTTAGATTAACTTAACAACCAAAAACACGTTAACACTATGCAGATACCGCTACTGTTCCGCACTAAATTACGCTGCCTATGAATCGGAAAACACGCAATTCAAGCAAGAACTGACAGGCAAAAAGCGAACCCTAAATACTTACTTCGGAGAGAAGCCGATTCTTGGGAAGCAATTTGGCCACTTCAGGAGGCAGGACCACATGCCTAAACAACATAAAATATCCAATTGATGACTCGATAAGTGTCCAAAAGAAACGCGATTGAATAGCGAAGAGAAGATGACAGTGACGGAGATCGATACCTGTACTCGTAAGTATCATCGAAGTATTTCTCAGAGTACTGGATCTGACCCATCTCTCGCATGAAGGCTTAGTCTGGCACGAGGTCAATGGGTTCCCGATTCAATCTGCAAATATAAACATCTTTTAGGCAAAATATTTAACTACGAAATTCTCAGAAAAGAAGCAGATGGATAATAATTCAGGGGAAAACGGAGATCAACTCGATTACCGATGAGACTGGAAATGAGGGGTGGCTTCTAATGAAAAGAGGAGGCAAAGGGAATAGTAGGTCAGAAAATAAAACTTAACAGGAACGACTATGTGTTCAGATGGTAATATATATTGTGTGGATGCTTTTTTGGAAAAAGAAATTACTAGAAAATAGCAATTAGAAATTAACGGCTAAAATTTGGAGTTTCAAATTTTGAATTCCCGCTTTGAGAACATTCAACACACTGGGAGGCCGCGCGTCCGCAGCTGATCATCAAAACAACACGGTAATATTCTGTTGGGTTGAGTTCAGCAGTAATGCTGGGCTTCGGCAAAAATAAAAGAGGTTGTCTTGGGATTCTAGTGTATTTGCCTATGTTTCACGTTCTCTCGAGGTTTTTTTTTTTTGTCTGTACCCCCAGAAAAGGTTTTTTGTGTAATGAAATTCATTTCGATTTTTTGAAAAAAGGGCAAGCACCCTTCATCGCAATTTTCATGTTAGAGTTATAAATTCAAAATGGTATTTCTAAGGAGTATCTAAAAATTCACAGCCAATTAAGGGGTCACTTGCAAAAATCTATGACTGGGATGCATGGCCTTTAAATTAGAATTAATTGAAAAA